CAGCGCCCCCGGCTCGGAGCCTTTCACTAAGGCTCACCTGGGGGTGTCACTTGAGGTGGCACCCCTCCAACCCCACTGGAGCGTGGAATCCCTCCCCTGCGACCGGGGAGAGTGTCCGCCATTGCCGAGCCACAGACCGGAAGTCTCGTGGGTCCCTATTCTGACCCCCCCCCTTAGGATTGCTCTGTCAATGTCTTCATGTTCTATAACGAAAATTGCAAATATACCTAACTAGGAAAAAGGCCCATTGTGGAAATAAATACAACGAGCTCTAGAAAGAGGCTCTGGGTGGGTGCCCCGGCCTTGGACACTCAGTGTCAATTTGCTGTGGCGACCTCAGCAGAGTATAATGACACTGAGTCCACCATTTTCTCCAGAGGAACTGATCTCTGCTACCTAAAGAACAGTTGTAATTTTGAGTGGTCTCCAGCCCTCACCTGGAGAGTGGCAACGATGGTTCCCCAGAAGGGAATGATTGGTTTGGAGGGTGGAGTCTATGGCTTTGTACCTGTTCGAGGTCCCACGCCTCCTGAAACCTCACCCTCTCCAGGCTCCATCCCTCACCTCTCCAGGAATTTCCCACCTGGAGTTGGCAACCCTATCTCTTTCCCAGCCACCCATCAACCTACCTTTATTTCCCCCTCACTCTTCAGCTTTCCACCCCCACACACACACCTGCAGCCTCTCCCGTGCTCTGAAGCCCTGACTGTACGTCACATTGGCTGTCATACGGGGGCCACCTCAGCAGCATATAAGGATACAGAGCCCACCATTTTCTCCAGGGGAACTGATCTCTGCCATCTGGAAAGCAGTTGTAATTCTGAGTGATCTCCAGCCCTCACCTGGAGATTGGACACATTTTACCTCAGAACAGCAAACTGTTTAGAATGTTAGAGGCAAGTCGCATATGCAAGTGACCTCTGTGTTCCGAGGCAAAGGCCAATGAGGCTTCATATGCAAATAACCTCTGTGTTCTGACTGGCTATGGGGGGGAGAGGAACAGCAAACTGTTTAGAATGTTGGAGGCGAGACTCAAGCAGTGCAGCCAGTGGATAGGGACAGATTCTGAGTGACACATCAGGGTGCCAACCAATTCTGAAGCGTGTGGAATGTTCTAGAGAAGTGCCACCACCATTCGGCTTTTATATATAAGGGAGATACTTTAGGAAGACTTGCAAACTGCTGTACCCTAAGCTACCAGCACATGTATCTTAAATTTTGCCATCGGAGAGGTAGGAAAAGTAAAAATTGAAGGTAGAGAACAAATTCTGTAGTAAATAAAAGAAACAGTATTGGTTGAACATAAACTGTTTTGGTTGGACAAAAACACTCTCATAGGGTGCGGTCAGATGGCGTGCTGAGAGCGGGTTAAACTGCTCTGATTCTAACTGTATTATATTTGATCTGGATAATCGCGATCACACTTACCTCCCTTATTCCGCCTCACCGCGCAGTCACATCACTCCCCGGTGTCTATACTACTGACGCGCAGGAGCGTGTGTCGGTGGGTTTTTAAAATTTTTCCTCATTTTGCATATGCGCATAGGCGCCCCTCTGTAGAATGGGGGGGAACTATCATAGCGCATGCGCAGAACCACCAGGGCGAATCAGTCCAACCCCTCCAACAAAAGATTTCCCTTTAAATGTTTGACCCGAAAATGGCCTCCGTGAGATCCCGAACTCATCTAAACACTAAAACAAGTGACCATTTAAATGTCGGTTTTCTAAATGCGGTGGCGGAACGCCGCCTATGTGCACACCGCCAACACATTAAAAAATGGCGGGCAAAAAGTGGAACCCTCGGGCAGCTTTCGAGCGGGGAGCGGGTTTAAACCGGAAGTGCCTTGACACCGCAGGAGCAATCAGACGTCAGAAAAGCGTGGCTAGAACCGGAGAATCAGGAAAACACCACTTGGGGACCTGGTAACAAAATTCTCCGTTTTAAAGGGGGGTTGAGCCGGAAAGCAATGGCTGGGGACAGTGCACAGATGTTGGGTGTGTGAACGTGGATATAAAATCCGTTACTGAAGCATGCCGAAAGCGGACTAAACGGCCCGTCTGAACGCAGCCATATAGTCACGATAGGTAGGACTACCAGCATATTTGAATATACAGTTAAACTTTATAGCATTAAAAATGTTTTATTACTTAACACTGTGTTATCATTAAGCTCATTGTTCCATATTAATAGGTTCCAAAACTATTCACATTTGAACAATAAACGTATTTTTGAAAATATGTTGTATACATCTACAGTATACATAGCAATGTCCTATATCTAATGCTGACCCTATCAATTAAAATGTGTTTGTGTGTGTGTGTATAAAAATTACATAAATTGTATCTGACAAGGCAGAGATGGTTCTTCAAAAAGTTGAGACAGTGACTAAGCTCCTGTAGTTAATTTTACATGTTCTGTCTGTCCCCAGCTATAACCTGGCAAATCTAGTTATGACGCATAGAGGGCTTTTAAAAAAAATGTGAAAGTTTTTTTGTTTTAAATGTTGTATAACCGTTTGTGACTCAGGGTGCATAATAACTACCTGTTTTCCTACTCTTCACAACTTGTTATTTTCAATTGCTCAACGTAAATGTCAGGAAGTAAATGGACTTAATTTCTTCTTCCAGGAAAAGGTGGCATCTGTACCCACCTGAAGATTCCAATTTTCTTTATCCTACCAGAATTCCATATGAAGAATCCAGCGTGTTCAGCAAAGTCAATGTAGTCAATCCTGATCTGAAACGCTTTCCGCAGTTTAAGAAAGCACAAACCCATATGGTTACAGTTAATCCTGGTCAGGTAATTTCAGAACTAGTCCTTTCCTTCAGCTTGGAACCTTCATGAAATATGATGTAGAGAAGCAGGGGTCATTTCCTAGAAAAAGAGGTGCAGGAACTCATTAGCATAACTTATTTGCATATGCCACACCTCCTGACGTCACCAGAAGTGTGTCAGAAGGCAACACCCACTGCTCATGCTCCACTGGACTGTTTTGGATTGCTAGCTATTGGAGGGGGGGGGAACGTGCAGATCTGTCCTCGCAGAGGAGGGAGAGCTTGTACCTGAATAAAACTTGGTTGTAAAGGTGCCACTGGACTGTTTTGGACCGGGGGGGGGGGGGGTTCTGCAATTTACCTGGCTGCTTCTTGCTCCGACTGAGGGCTGCTGGGAGCAGGGGGGGGGGCTTGTTGCATGTGCCCGCCCCCTGGGCTCTTTACTGCCGGAGCTCTGCTCCTGTGCGCTCCTGCAGGAAATGACCCCTGTAGAGAAGTATCAAATAAATAGGTGGGGATAGGGGTGGGGAGAAACTGTATTGACCTCTCTAAGTCTTGCCTAAACTTGTTATGTTTAATCCAGTTCTCTGGGTCTGAAATCCTTCTAATTCATGTTGTTTCACTTACAGTAGAGAAATGTAAACTATGAGAACACCATCTCAACAACCTGCCTTACTTCTTACACATTAATATACAAGTATCTCCAGAACATGCTGGAATAGTAGTACTAGCCATCTGAGCGTAGTAAGTTATACAATGTGCACTTGATGAATAAGTGTGCAGAGCCAGCAAATAGATCTTATTTATGCTTTCATGGTGATGAATATCCTTCCATAATGGAAACATTTGCACAGCTAGCTACATCGCTAGTATTTACAATGTGCATTACTATTTCAATCGAGGATATCAAAGTCTTGTAAAAAGAGCATTCAGAACTTGATTTAATCATATTTTACTGGGGAGGGTGCAAGGGTAATCAACTAGCAGCTTTGTCAAAGGTCTCACATTGTGCTTAAACAACATAATGCATGGACGTTCATTCCACCAACATTCTTCCTCCCAAATGAATTAATTTTTCCTTACTAAAACTAATTACTTTTTGGTTTTAAATATAGCCAGTATTACAAAATGGACTGTTTTTTTCTCAGATTAAGGGACTTTTAAAGCTGTTGCAATTACACTGCATTATATAGCGTATTAATATTCTATACTGCATGGTGAATGCCTTACAAATGCCAAACATTGAATGAACTGACTTCATAATTTTCTCCCCCGCAGCAGGATGTGGCTTTTAATATAATAACAACAACAACAACAACAATAATAATATAATAATGTATAGTCTCTTGTGTTCAGCTTTCCGCTGAGTTTGGGAACTCAATAAAGGTACCTAGTTTCAGTAATTAGTAATGATAATGAAGTAACAAAATCACTAGTCTTAATTAAACTTAAACTAATAGAAGTCTAATCTTAAGAATAAAAATGGCTAACACACTTTTAGTAGTACCCCAAGCAATGCTCCTTCTAAGCTGTGGAGTCTTGTGAGCAAACATTCTACTTTGTGAGCTACTGGCATTAAAGTTGTGAGTGATTTGTCTATTGCATAAATTACTTTGCTCTGGAGCCTAGGCTTGCCAAGTCCCCCTGGGGGCGCCCCAGAGGCCTGTTCCCTGCCGCCAGCGGATCGGGCCCCGGGGGGAACCCCACCCCGATGTGCACGTCACCCGGAAGTGATGCGACCACGCGGGGCACGCTGGGGGCGGGGCCACGGTCATCCGAGGGAAAACTCTACGGTTTTCCCTCGGATGGTCGTGGCCCTCCCCCCAGCTTGCCGGGTGTCGTCACGTCACTTCCGGGTGATGTGTGTGCGGTGCGTGCACGCACTCCAGCCGCAAGCCAGGAGTCCCCCGCTGCAGCTCAAAAAGCACTTGGCAACCCGACTGGAGCCATCCTTCCTGAGCTAAGACAAAAACGTGTGAGCCGCAGGGCCTGTAAGATGGAGCTCTTCCACCAGGCTTTCAATTAGAAGCCGCCTTAAATACAGAGGAGCGACCCTGTGCCCTGGTTCAGCCACCTTCAGCCTGGCTCACCGCACAAAGTAGTTGATCTGTCCAAGACAATATGTGTATACCGTCAGGACTATTGCCTAAGTAGTGGGGTGGCTTGATTTAGGAATTGCTGCTCCTGCACTTTACTTGAGTATTGTTCTGGCACTTTAGGAGAATGTTTATGGTTGTTTTATGTATGATGTTAACTATTTATATATGCGTTTTTATGTTGGTCGCCCTGAGCCTGCCTCGCAGGGAGGGTGGGGTATAAAGCAAATAAATAAATAAATAAATAAATATTGTGAGCTAGCTTACAGTAACTCAGCTTAGAGGGTACATTGGCCCCAAGGTACTACTGTACAAAACAGGTGATGATATAGATTTTGATCTTTCAAAACATCTGTGGAGGGACTTGAAGCCAAACTACATGTTCAGAATTCATTTTAAGATTGTAACTTTTCAGAACACAGGTGGAGGGAATACTTGTGGAGGGAATTTCCACATGAAAAATCACTGCCCACAGAGAGGTTGCTGGAATGTGAAAAGGGTTCTAACCTAGCCTTCCATCTGACATGCTAATTTTCTGCATATTTAATTTGGGAAGAGCACTGTCATGTGACCCTACTCTCCCTACCCATCTTCAGAAGTCCTCTGCTCCCAGGAGGGCTATATTGAGCAGTTCTTCTGACTGTAGAATGCTAAGGAAGTGCTCCTGTAAATGCTAAGCCCCTTTAGGACAGGTCCCATTTGTCTCTGCTTTATGCAAAAGTAATGCCTGCTGGCTGTACTGGAGCCTGTTTAGTATTGGGAAGGATGCAGCGAAGCAATTTGAAGAGAATCCTTCAGATAGCAAAGGAAGGCACCTCTTTAACAGACATTGTTCTAACTGAAAGCAAAGATTGAGCATGTATTGCAAATACAATTATTTGAGGATTTGCAGTCAGCTTTACTCTGAGGTAATTTATAGTAATCTCCATTTCTTGCTCAGCCAAAACCCACATGCCTCGGATTAAGACGTTGTAATAATGGAGAATTGAAAAATAAAGATAAAGGTGTGTTTTTGTATTCAAGAAAGCAGCTGCGTGCTGGATGGATGCTGGCTTTGAATATTAAAAGAAACTTAATGTGCCTAATGCCATCTTCTGGCCAATGTGTCTCATTCCACCACTTTCTGTTGTATAAAAGACATTTGGGATCACTGTTTCAATAGATATTGTAATTACTTTTTAATGTGACCTTGGTCTTTAGCTCTTAACCCTGGATACATAGCACTAGACATTGTGTTGCATATAGTTCATTGTTAAAAATTGAACTAGTTTGTTGCAGGCAACATTTTAGAGGAGGTTTAATGTGGCGCTGTCACTCTTGTATCTGCAATTAAACATTTAAAATGTCTTGCTATCAGTAATGGCCAAGTTACTGCAAAATTAATTCTGTCTAGCACTTGCACCTGCAAGCAGTAATTTGAGCCTGTGGTTTTGGAAGTATAATTGTGTGTTCAAAATGACAGGAGCAAATTGAGAGATTCATTTCTGTCTCTCTGTTTTTAGCAAATTGGCTTCTGATAGTCACCTGACTTACTTAAAAAAGAATACAAAACAACCAGCATAGGCAGATCTGCCAGTGTGTTTCTCATCTACCCAAGTCTGTTTATTTTCACTAACTCATGCTATTCATATTCATATACGCTCCATGTGTTGTAATGGTTAGAGTATTGGACTAAGGCTGGGGAGACCCAGCTTCACATCCTTAGTGATAAAACCCCTCAGGAGGAATAGTCTGTACAACATCATAAGGCAGGGCTATTTTGGGGCAGGAATAAGGAATGCACAGGAACGGAGTTCCGGCTGGCTCCTGAGTTGGCCACGCCCAGCAGGAACTCATTAGCATAACAGGCCACACCCAACAGCAGGAACTCATTAGGATTGGCTACATTAGGGGTGTGTGGCCTAACATGCAAAGGAGTTCCTGCTACAAAAAAGCCCTGGGTTTTGACAACAAACAAGGTAAACAGAATAGGAAGCAAACGATGGGTGTGGCTGGATGACCACACTTCTGGTAATGGGTGTGTGGCCTAATATGCTAATGAGCTGTGCATCAGAGGTGTGGCCTAATATGCTCATTGGTTTTGCTGTTGGGTGTGTCCTATTATGCTAATGAGTTCCTGCTGGGCTTTTTCTACAAACAAAGCCCTGTCATGAGGTAAAGAACGCAGAAATATATGAACTAAATAGGACAAAATAAGGAAAAGATGGGAACAATACACTGAGCTATACAGAAGAGATGAAAGGATGACATATTCTTTCGAAGAAGAACCAACAATTTTAGAAAGTACAGTGAAAGCAGCACTGAGAGCAACTGGGAGAAACAGTCACCAGGAGTACATGGGATATCAACAAAACTATTCCAAGCCACAGAAATGGAGGCCATCAAAATCTTAACAAGAATAGGCCAACTAATATGGAAAACAAAACAATGGCCCACAGACCAGAGATACCCAATTTACATTCAAATTCTGAAAAAAGGAGATTTCAAAGACTGCAGCAACTATTGGACTATCACATTAATTTCTCATATAAGTAAAACGCTGCTCAAAATCTTACAATGAATATGGAACAAGAATTACCAGATGTTCAGGCTGGATTCAGAAAAGGAAAAGGCAATAGAGATCATATTGCAAATTTACATTGGTTACTGCAGCATATGAGATAATTTCAAAAGAAAATCAGCTTGTGTTTCATAGACTACAGGAATGTTTCTGACTGTATGGATCATAAACAGCTATAGTTAGTTTTAAAACAAATGGGTGTGCCACAGCATCTGATTGTTTTGATGCACTACCTGTACTCTGGACAAGAGGCTACTGTTAGGACAGAATACGGAGAAACAAAATGGTTTCCAATTGGCAAGGGTGTCAGATAAGTATGTATTTTATCTCCTGGTCTCTTCAATCTTCAATTGAAATATGAAGATGACACCACATTACTAGGAGAAAATAGTGAAGACTAGAAACTAGGGATGTGTGGTTGGATCTACTTGACCAAAGAATATACCCGAAAAATACCTTATCAGTATTTTTCAGGTCTATTTCGGCATCCCAAGGGTATCTGGGATTTCTGAAATCCTGAAAATCCTGAAAAAGTCCCATATACAGAAATTACTGGGTAGATCTGGAAAACAGCCCTGTTTAAACAGGGCTGCAGGAGAAGCCAGCCCTAGGATCAGCTGTGCCAGCGAGGAGCAGAGTGCTCCTCACCAACTTAGCTTTGGGTGTGCATTTCCCCCCCTGTTGTTTTTCTTCTCAGGTCTGTTGGACCCCCAAAAAATCAGGGTTCCCGATAAATCCCGGATCTGAATACTGTACTGTATTGGGATCTAGGATTTTTTAGGAATCCCCAAAAAATTTCTGGTCCCAACACACCTGAACCAAAAAATACCGGGAGGGGGATTCCACACCCCTCCTTGAAACAACTACTGATGAAGGTTAAAGGGGAAAGTGCCAAAGCAGGATTACAGCTGAACATCAAGAAGACAAAAGAAATGACTACTGGGGAATTACACAACTTCAGGTTTGAGAATGAAGAAATTAGAATTGTTCAAGATTTTCCATTCCTTGGCATCATCAACGAAAAGGGAGACTGCAACTAAGAAATCAGAAGGAGACTGAGACTGAGAAGGGCAGCCTTGAAGGAGCTAGAAAAGATTCTGAAGATTTTTATGTTCTCTAGATCTGTCAGGAATTACATATATTGCTCGTGGATATTTCCTGGAAAATCCCTGTTAATTTTTAGCAGCAATGTAATCACTTCCGTGTGTTTACTTCCATGAGAATAATACCAAACAAACTTTGCCAAGGAAAATTTTAAGTTGAAAACAGACCTTTATTAATGGATGGGAAGGTACTCCTGCCTTAGAAAAACTAGTGAACACAAGTGATGAACACAGCAGGCTAGATTTCTTTTATTGGCTTTATTTTGCTAAATATTTACCTTGCCTCTCTAGGCTACGTGGTTTTTAAAAATGATTTCTAATCCTTACTTCTGTGTGAAATAGTTCTCTTCTGTTCAGTCATCCCTTTTCAGATAAGAAGATTTTGGCTGCAAATCTATCAATAATTGTTCATTCTCTATAATAAATATTGGCCAAAAAAGGCTACGGGCATTTTTTAGGCTTGAGATAATTCTGCTAAAAAAATAGATAAACCAAGTGAAAGTCAACCATCCAGAATTCTAGTCCAAACTAAGGTTGAATATAATCTTGTAATTTTTTTTGGTAAATGTTGGTTTTCAAAGGCCAAATAACGTTCAGACATTTATTGACAATTCCTGCTTCTACTCTTCAATGTTGTAGTGCTGCTTTAAGCACTCTAAGCATTCATGATCTGATAGATCAAATCATACCCTAATATTGCTGCTGTGACTAATGGTGACACCACTTAATATAAATTCTGCAAATGTTTGAATACTTGTAAATTACTTCCTAGTACCTAGGTGAAAGCAATAGTGGCAATATTTTTTCCATGAAGTTTCTAAATTACTGTGATATCAAAAGAGGGGCGGGCTAATGCTTGAAGATACGGTAGAGGATAATAATATGTTATGATCACTTGGCCTTCCCATGACTCCATCTTCCTCACATGTTGGGTTTACACCAGCATTTCCATTCAGGGTATGGTTATCAAGGAAGAGCAGAGATTAACACAAATCCTTACAGGAGCAAGATTTTACGAAGGAGATTATAGTGTTCAGCAGGGCATTTTTTTGTAGAAAAAGCCCAGCAGGAACTCATTAGAATAATAGGCCACACCCAACAGCAGAAACTCATTAGCATATTAGGCCACACCCTAACAGTGCAGTTCATTAGCATATTAGGCCACACACCCATGCCTCCCCAATCCTTCAAGGCCCCCCCTGGCCCCTCTGCCTCAGGGTCGCTGGGGGGGTCGTCGCTCTTCAGGCCCTCCCTCTGTAGCCAGGCATGCAGAGGTTTTGGCTGTAGTGGGTGTGGCCAACTCTGAAGCCAGCCGGAACTCCGTTCCTGTGCGTTCCTGCCCAAAAATAGCCCTGGTGTTCAGTAAACCTTTGGTTTATCTTAAAATAGCAACCCAAAGAGGTGTGGCCAATGAACACGTTTCAGCCATTATTGCTAATCCGAATGAACAATACTAGGGCAGGTTTTGGAGTGAGAGATTAGGAAACCAAGGAATCAGGCCTAGAACAGCAGGTGGTATAAGGGAATGGGATTAGCTATAACCCATCTGTGGAAGAAGGACAGAATAATATTATGGACAGTAATTGTACATATTGCAAGGAAGGGAAGGGGAAATGAGTACATATGAGGTCCGGTGTTCCCAGAAGCAACATGGGTTTCAAGCATGGGTATGTGTATGATTGAACAGAAGCTGTCTGGGCATCCCTTTTCAGAAGCTATGCTAATTCTTCCTCAGTGAGAGTTGTTCGTCTGTACACACTACTTTCTACCAACTTACTGAAGATTTGTGCAAATAATTAATTTAGCTTTTCAGCAAGAGATTGATCTATTTGTGTTTCACTACTCTTAATCTTTTCAAGATAGAATAAATGTTTGTTGTGAGGGAGAATCTCCTTACCACTGTCTTCTGACATCTTCCACATAGTCTCTTTCACAGTGGACTTTCTGGCAAACCATTTAAAGCTATATGGGAATGGAAAGGTTGCATTTTGAACCTAGTAATAAAAGGCAGGATAACCTAAATTGCTCATGGTCAGACAGATTAAACATGTTGTATGACAGGCAGCAAAATACAGAAATAGGTCTATTGTAGAAGTGTAGAACCACTGCATTAACTTGTGGTATTTTAAAATGTAGTGGAAATGTTTTAGTTGCATAAAATATTTTTGCTGTGACACTGGACTTATATGTAGTCATTTCCCCTTCCTTTCCTTGCACTCTGTACAATTACTGTCCATAATATTATCCTGTCCTTCTTCTACAGATTGGTTATAAATCTGGGTGTGGAACAGCGGTCAATGCGGGTGTGGAAGGGGAGGTATTTGTGAATTTCCTGCATTGTGCAGAGGGTTGGACTAGATGACCCTGGAGGTCCCTTCCAACTCGATGATTCTATGAATTGTAATTTCTCCATTTTAATTTCAGATCCTGTTTGTTCCCAGGCACTGGTGGCATTATGTAGAATCCATTGACCCCATCACTGTGAGCATAAACTCTTGGATTGAACTGGTAACTCACCCCCCCCCCTTATGAAATTATTGCTGTTCATCTGTTAAAACTGAAAGTCACATGTCTCATCATAGAGTAGCATGGCTCTGCCCATTCACAATGATGGTCTGTACTCAAGATCAGATAAATGGCATAACTGAAACTTTTTCCACTGGGCTTCCCCTTTATCCACTGCTTGACTTGTATTCTTTTATTTCTGCGGTACTGAACCAGGACTCATACATCAGTAAAGCTGTCAGTGAGTTGCCTGGCTGCTGGTTGGGACTGTGATCATCTTTGAAAGACTAGGCGTGTGGAAACCTAACTAGCAGTTTGCTAGGCTCAAAATACATTTAAGCTTATTGAGAAACAGATTAATGTTGATATTTACTTTCTCTGAAGTGGGTGTACACTTATTCAAACTTAATAGAGTTAGAAATTACTCTATGATTTGGTTCCCTGTATGGTTAAAAAGCTTTGTGTGTATTTTCAGCCATCTTATGACCAATGCTCCCTCTAAGCTGTGGAGTCTTATGAGCAAAAAATCTACTTTGTGAGCTACTGGCATTAAAGTTGTGAGCAAGCGATTTGGCTACTGCATACATTAGTTTGCTCTGGAGCCATCCTTCCTGAGCTAAGGCAAAAAAAAAATGACTGAGCTGGAAGCTAAAGAACTGTGAGCTAGCTCACACCAATTCAGCTTAGAGCAGGGGTGTCAAACATGTAGCCTGGGGGCTGGATCATGCCCTTGGAGGGCTCCTATTTGGCCTGGAAGGAACTGGCTGTCTTCTGCTTCCTTCTCCAGTTCTGCTGCAGCTGCTGCATCACAGCTTGCTTTGCCAGACTCTCAATCACACAGGAGAGATAGATATTCAAGTGTCTGTTCCCTGCACTGTCTGAGGCTCCTCCCCCTCCTCCTCCCCGGGGGAGGGAACAAGCCAGAGCTTGCTTCCTGGCCAGGCTGCCTCAATCACACAGGAGACAAAGGCAAGCCTTTCTTCCCCTCCATTGGCTGAAGCTCCTTCCCTTCCTCCTGCCTTGCTTTGCTCAGCTGCCTCAATTGCACAGGAGAAATACAAAGCACCTTTAAGATGAACCAAGTTTTATTTAAAGTATGAGCTTTTGTGTGTCTTGCTTTGTTAGGTTAATTATGCCAGGGCTCTCCTGGGTACAACTGGGTTCCCTCCCCCTTTCTCATTGTATTCATGCCTTCATGATCCAGTCTTTCTCAGTAGGAAAGCAATGTGAACTATTTAGATGAGGAATAACAACAAGCCAATGAGGTGGATTAGGATGAGAGTGTGTGTCCAGACCAAGTTCACCCAGCACATTTCCTTTGTAGACTGGGGATTTTGAACCTATACTTTCCAGATAGTTCGCTTATACTGACTACTATATATTGCCCTGTTCTTGCACTGCCTCATAGGAGTTGTAGTTATTTGTCTGGGGAAGACTATAGTTTTATAGTGAAACACATTGCCCTTGGTCTGTTTCAGGATGCCTTCTCATGTTCTTAATCAGCACATGAAGCAATTTAGGTACAAAAGCTCACAATGCCCAGCCATTTCATGTTTTCCCCTGGGTCCTAGACTCAGAGGACTGAGTATGAAATTTCTGTAATGAATTTCAATAAATCAAAAATAGGTTTGCAGCTTACAGATACACACCTGAACAGCATACTCAAGATTGCCACAGCACAGACATTTTGATGCAATAATTCAGAGCAAGAGGTGTTAGTTATCAGAGACTGTTAAATAAACTATTGCAAGAGTGCTAATGTTTTAAGTTCAAAAAAATGTTTGTGACCTTTATAAAGTTTATATCTCCACTACCTGGCATTACATTTTATGATACACGTGGCCCGGCCCAGCAAGTTCTCATTTATGTCAGATCTGGCCCTCATAACAAATGAGTTTGACACTTCTGTCTTAGAGAGTGTGACATTATGACATTACCCACAGTGACTGCTTAAGACCAGAGCAGCCTAATATGTTGAAAATGCTGTTTTCAGATTGAGAGATGGAATATATGGTTGCCAATACTATGGGTCACATTTAAAGTTTCAGACAAGGACTTGAGAGATATGGGTTCAAATCTCCACTTAGCCATTAAGCTCGGGCAAATCACACAGTGCCATCTAAGCACATCTACTCAAAATCCTGCTCAGGTCTGTTTAGGAAAATGTTTTGGGTTTTGCAGTGATGGTTTCTCAATTTAACTAACTTCACCAAGTCATTCTGAGAATTAAATGTGAGAGGGGAGAGCCATGTACATCACCTTGAGCTTCTTGGAGAAAGGACAGGATAAAAAGGTAATATAGATAGATCCTTGTTGTGCAGAAGAAAAGAGACAGAAAGTGGTGTGTCCTTTTAAGCTTAACAAAATACGGGGAGGAAACACCTATTTTATCTTGCATGATGTCTTAGGTATGAGTTGGAGTTGAGACTGTTGTTATGTTTAAAAATATTGTTTTCTTCACAGAGTGTCTTCTTGTTGATCCATCTTCTTTCCTCAGAACATATTGTTACAGTTCTACACACTTCCATTTCTTGATGGAGTGCAGTATGCTGGACATAGGTTACGAAGCAATCTCCCCAAATTGGGAGCCTCATAAATAGCAAGGAAGATGAGACCTCTTAAGCTTAATGTGTGGTGGTGTTTAACCTCAGGACTGCCTGTGTGTAATCTCTATGGTGCAGGTGACAGTTGATTATTCCCTATTATCCCTGGAGGTGACAGCAACATTACTTTTGAGATGTGGGGCTATCCATCCTGGGAAAATAGTGTGTGACACGGATGTTAAAATATAATATCAAGAACCTTTTCATTATTCATTGGAGCTCTCTAGCTTCCAGCAATAACCAGCTGCCATCATGTTGATGTGAGAAGTGCGTGTCATGCCAGCCTCAGTAGCCCTACCAACATAATTAATTATTTTGTGGAGACTTTACAATAAGAGGAGAAAGTTTTTAATTTGTTTTCAACATGCTCCCAGGCTTGCTTTCTAATTTTTGATGGATGTTGCTCATGGATTCTGTGAGGCTAAATGAACTTCCCAGGGTTGCAGCACCTTGAGATTTTAACAATTACAATACGTCATACGTCAAGGTAAGCAGGCCTAAATGTGCCTGTTTTAAAATGGAGGCAATAAACAAACTTAAAACTCTGCATTATAATAATGTCCGAAGTCAAACAGTTTAGGGATATGTGAAACCAGGGGCCATTTCGTAGAAAAAGAGGTGCAGGAGCTCATTAGCATAACTCATTAGCATAACTTATTTCCATATGCCACACCCCCTGGCATCACCCACCACTCAGGCTCCACTGGACTGTTTTGGATTGCTAGCTATTGGGGGGGGGGGACATGCAGATCTGTCTTCGCAGCGGAGGGAGAGCTTGTACCTGAATAAAACTTGGTCTTAAAGGTGCCACTGGACTGTTTTGGACTGGGGGGCTGGGAGGAGCTCTGCAACTTACCTGGCTGCTTCTTGCTTTGACTGAGGGCTGCTGGGAGCAGGGGGTGGGGCTTGTTGCATGTGCCCACCCCCTGGGCTTTTTGCTGCCGGAGCTCTGCTCCTGTGCGCTCCTGCAGGAAATGACCCCTGTCTGAAACCCTCAGAAGGAATTCCATCTGAAAGTCCTTTGTCCCAGATCAGTACCAATTTCTGTGGAATGCCTTTCTGCTTGCTTTTGGTACAGACCCCAGATATTTTCCTGCAGGTCTACTTCACTTACAATCATATTGCATAATGGAGTTTTTAAACTGAAGGGTTATAGACACCAACTCTCTGCTGCCCTAAGGCTACAAAACCCATGATACATTGTGACTGGCAACAAAATAAGCCACAATAAGAATTACACTAGCTCTTTGTGCCACTGTGTTGTTGTTGTTAGTCATTCAGTCTTGTCCGACCCTTGGCGATTTCATGGGCCAGCTCTCCATGTTTTCCGATCTTGTACTGTTTCTTTGAGTTGAGTTCCATGCTCAGGCTGGTGTCGACTGGTGCCCCTGTAGGGACTTCAAATAAATAAATCTGGATTTTGGTGGGCCCTGTTTGCAGTCCCAAACTCCATTTTCTCATTATGAGAATTTGGTTCTAAATTTTGGGTTCCATGTTGGGTGAAGTCCAGTGGCAATCCTATGAATTCTGATATGAGACCAAGATTTTGATTTTGCTCCATGTTGCTAGGGCTTCTGAGTACATCAGAGTAGCAGCTTCGGTGTTTGTTAATAAAGTACACACAGCTAAGAGCTTATCCATATTTAATGCCGGAAATTCAGTGCCCCGGCTTGGATCCTCCAGAGCTTTTCCATGGACAGAGGAGTTTTCTGCCCACAGAACAGAACTTTCTTACCCTCTCCATTCCCACTGCAGTCCAAACTGCCTCCCGCGAGTAGCATTTTAGAGGGGACATTTTGGGCTGCATCTAAAAGAGGGAAGGCTTTGTGAGCAGAAATCCTTCAATTTACAGAAATATTCCTGTGGGTCCAAGCCATTCTTTTGATGATTTAGCTTGAGCTGATCTATGTGGCTGACAGTTACTAACACAGGACTGGTGCAAGCTATGCAGTCTGTATGGCTGGTTTTCTATGGTCACTGTGGGATTTTCCTAGGAAGGGAAGGAATTCTTCTTCCCCAGGATGCCTAGTCAAATCAGGAATGTAGGAACTCAAGGTCTGGCTAAACCTCATACCCAAAATTCTGCATCTTGAAAGGTGAAGCATGACAGTTACCGTATGTTGAGTGATAATGCTGAATTAAATCAATCAGGTGTGATTTATTTGGCATAGATTTTCCTGCCCTGGGGGATTATTCTGCCCATCTTCTGCCCAGGTTGAAGAATTTCTGTTTCATCCAGTTCATTTTGAAAGCTGGTTTTTTAAACTGTTTGGCCTCTTGAGGGCCCTAATTGGACAGAAAGGTGGCATACAAATGTTTTACATCAATTAAAAATAAATACATGGTACCAACAGCGATTCTGGCGGCTTATTCTCCGTACTGCATCCTTTTTCTCTAAGGAACTGAATGTAAGGGCGCGATCACACGCACAATTAGCTGCACCATAGGTGCGAATGCCAGGCAGATTTAAAGGGTGCGATCAGACGCGAACATCTGGGAAGCACCCCACACGCATCGGCAACCCGTTTTGCTCCGCTGCAGAAGCAGAGTAAAAAGACACCAGGGAAAGTCCAGTAGCAAATGTGTTGCTATGGGCAACGGACGGACTTTCCCCTGTGTGATCGCTCCAGCGTGCTCTCATGGCGTCGGGATGGTCTGATCAGGCCATCCCGACTCCGCGCCGTTGTTTTTCCCCCCTTCTCAGTATGCGCATCATCGCACACTCCATAGGGAGCCCTCAGTGCATAGATGTGATTCAGCGATTCCCGGTTTAAGTGCATCCGGAACAAACGGCAAAAAAAACTACCCCAACTCACCCACGGTTGTGTCTGATCACGCAGTGGTGGGCTGTCCCCACAGCTTCAAAGGACTGTGTGATCACGCAACTGCGGGTCAAATTCCTCAGAAGGAAATAGCCTCGCTCCCCCCCCCCGATTATCTTGCACGTGTGACCGCCACCTAAGTTTGCATCTTCCTGCCCTCCAATCTCCAACTTCCTGTTGCAAAATCAAGCAAGGAATCCCTGTTTCTTTATCCGTCTCCCATTTACTGTGGACTCTGGTGCCTGAACACCATGTCACACTGCGGATTCGTTTTTTTCCTTGCTTTGGAAACAGCCCCCAGATCCAAAGCCATTCATTCCAAAAGGAAGGCTCTGCCTTCATGTTTCATCCTGATGAAATTCTAAATTAGTCTTTGTATTTCACTGCCTAAAGGCACCAAGAAAGTCATGACGGCTTGTAACATGTAAGAATCAATTACAGGATTCTTGTTTCATCTTTAAAAAGCTGTGTGCCTGGTATCCTTCGTTAAAGACAACATTTGCTTTTTTCTTCTGTTGCTATTTAAGGCTGTAATAACACATCAGTGGGCTGGCATTACTGTCAAATGACAGCGTGCTCCCTAGAATTTAAAATAATTTAGTCTTGTGTCTGTAATAGTTCCCAGGGCATTTTCTGCCTCGCAGTAATATCCTTTGTGCTTTAAGAGCTTAAATCATTTGAAGAAACAATTTCGGACATGCCTTTTTGATCTCCCTAAATTAAAGACATATTAGATAGTGTCCCTGTGGTATAAATTAATGTTCGCAAGCCTGAATTAACAAGGAGCTAATAAAATGTATTGTCGACCAATTAGAGAAAGTGTAATTGCTTGATCATAAGGGTTTTATGGGTATATTATATTATAAAAACTCAGCTGTGATACTAAGGAACGTTAATTCCCCCCCCCCCCCTAGATGATTTGATGTTCATATGATGTAGTCCTTATGAAACCTCTGGAACTAGTTCGTGTTTCTTCAGAACTGTTGGGTATTATATCTCATCAAAAATTCAGCCAAGTGGTAGAATGTGTATGGAATACTTGAACAAGTTGTTGCTCACCTCTATAGGCCTGTGTGGATTCTTGACCACTTGCTTCCATGTCCGCTAAACATAGAAACTTCGACTCTTAGGATGACATACATGTTGGTCGCTAAGCATGCAGATAGATCTGAAATGAATGTGAGGGTTGATATAATGACCACCAGTGTCACAGAGACCTTGACGTGACAGTGACAATTCCCCTTTGCAGTTTCTAGGTGGGGAAGGAGTCTGGAAAGGAGAGCGTCCCAGGTGAATGCAGGGTCTCTAAAAATGGTTTCATTGTTTTCCCTTCCCTCTTACGAAAAACATTGTGTGCTTGAGAATAAGAGAAATAAGTTGCTCAGTGAATTGATGAGATCAAATCAGAACTTATTGTATATAGCCATTCTGCCTGACAATATGAATTTGTGAGATCTTGTCTTGCAAGGATTAAGCAGGGGGCTGTTAAAGAAGAATTAGAAATGCTGAATGCCGTCCCAGCCCGTGTTAGGAAATCTCACAAGGGAATCTTTTCACATTTGGAAGCCCAGGAAGCTGCCCAGAACATGAAATATACCATGTGCTTTTTTTATATGGTCATCTTCAGCACCCATGCTGACTCTACAATACTGCTTGGCTGTGGAGGCTTTCTGTAGTCTAGCAATGGTACCATGTAACTTGTGGGGAACAGGCTACACAGCTGTGTGTAGGGCAATAAAAATGCACGCACGCCCGGGCCAAAAGTCCCCTTTGACGCGGAACATCTTTTCCTTCTTCAGTGCACCTTTTATTGAAGTTCTCCTAAGTCCTCCTTGCTTCTGCAAGTATGCATGCCGATTACCACACTTTCATTACTTTTCATTCATTATAGGATGCAGATCATGAGGCTCGTGTAGAAGAGGCAATAACTCGGACACTGATATGTGCAGTACAATCTGCAGACGACCTCAGCACTTCAGATTCCTGGCTGAACCCCACAGAGGTTACATTTCCCTTTTTTTGTTGCTTGCCATGACTTGTACAACCTTTTTTGCCCAACGATGTTCAAATGAAAAGCAGTACAATCGGACTGACTTAACTAAACACACATTTAGTTCCTGTAGCAGGTTCCTCAGAGCATGTGCAGAGTTCTTTGCGGTCAACAGGAAGTCAAAGGAGTGTCTAACCCCAACCCAAACTTGGAGGATATGTAGAAGAGAGTCAGCCAGAGATCCCCGGCAAGTGTGGGGTCTCTAGCATGCCGGGGGTGGAGGGTGGGGGGTCCCTACTGTGCCACAGCCCAAACCGGTTCATTTGGCCCTTAAAAGTTCATGACGGTTCCTGGTTTGCGAACTGGGCACACCACCAACCAAACTGCATTTTCCCAGTTTGTGCTCATCCCTAACAGGGAAGCACTTGACAATGGAAGCTCTATGCGCACATTGGAGATTCTGCACCTGCAAATAACCGCTGGACAAAGGAAATTCTACACCAGTGAGGGGAAATGAATAGAAATAAATAGAAATAGAAATAAATCAAGAAATAAATCACCAACCAAACTGCATTTTCTCAGTTTGTGCTCATCCCTAATAGGGAAGCACTTGACAATGGAAGCTCTATGCACACATCGGAGATTCTGCACCTGCAAATAACCGCTGGACAAAGGAAATTCTATACTAATGAGGGGAAATGAATAGAAATAAATAGAAATAGAAATAAATCAAGAAATAAATCACCAACCAAACTGCATTTTCCCAGTTTGTGCTCATCCCTAATAGGGAAGCACTTGACAATGGAAGCTCTATGCACACATTGGAGATTCTGCACCTGCAAATAACTGCTGGACAAAGGAAATTCTATACCAGTGAGGGGAAATGAATAGAAATAAATCAACGTTTGTAGCCAATGGCATATTTCTGAGCTTTGCACTATCAGAGAAGCTGAGTTCAAATCCTTAGCGATTTCCATGTTATACCTCTCACAGTAGTAATCAGAGTTGAAACATTTAATCAGTTAGATTTGAAAACGTTTGACGAACTAAAAAGGTATCCTTGATCAATTCAGCAGTAAATCTTTATAAAGCAAAATATTGTGAATGGAGTAAGGAATGCCCCTTCCAAGACGACACTTGCTGTGAGTGTTATTTATTGTCTGTAGGTGTGATTCGTTGTCCTAAACTCTATGGATTTAGAAGGGTGAAACTCAGTTTAGGATTGCACCATAAAATTCGAACAACTAATTGATTAAGATTTGTTTCATTTGCAGTGCCACCCTAAGCAGAGTTGTGCTTTTCTAAGCCCATTAGCTTCATGGGGCATAGGATAGCTAGGTCTGAATCCAGTAGCACGTTAGAGACCAACATGATTTTCAAGGTATGAGCTTCAAGACTCAAAGCTCCCTTTGTCAGATACGAGTGTGAATGCAAATCTCTTTTTCCTTGTGTCTCAATAAAAAGATGGGAAGAGTGTTGCAGAAAAGGAACTCAGGATGCAGAGGTACAGTGTGCTTGATTACAGCAGAGGGAAATGCTTGAGGGCAGAAAATTAGCCTCTGTAATGAGATAAGAATCCTATGTCCAGTACTGGGAGGTCCATTGTTCTGAACTTGTGAATGAACTCAAATTCAGCAATCTCACGTTGTAATCTCCACTTGAAACTTCTCTGTTTGAGGACTGCTACTCTAGGGGCAGAAGTAGAATGGCCTGGCAGATTAAAATGTTCCCCCACTGTTTTCTGAGTGATGTGGGTTTTGTGACAGATTTATGTCTGTTTATTCTTTTATGTAGGGGTTGACCTGTTTGTCCAATACAGAGTGTGGAAGCACATTGATAACATTTGATGGCAAATACAATGTTGGAAAATGAACAAGTGTATGAACCTGAGATGGTATGGCTGGTGCTATTAGGTCCAGTGATTGTGTTGTCAGAGTGAATATGGGGACAGAGTTGTTGTTGTTGTTCAGTCGCACAGTTGAGTCCGACTCTTTGTGACCCCATGGACCACATCACGCCAGGCCCTCCTGTCTTCCGTCGTGCTCCGGAGTTAACTTAAGTTCATGTTCGTTGCATCTATGACACTGTCTAGCCATCTCATCCTTTGCCGTCCCCTTCTTCTTTGACCTTCAGTCTTTCCCAGCATCAGGGTCTTCTCCAGTGAGTGCTCATTTGATGGCCAAAGTATTTGAGCTTCAGTTTCATTATCTGGTCTTCCAGGGAACAGTCATGGTTGATTTCTTTTAGGATTGACTGATGTGATCTCCTTGCAGTCCAGGGGACTCTTAAGAGTCTTCTCCAGCACCATAATTCAAAAGCACCTATTATTCAGCACTCAACCTTCCTTATAGTCTAACTCTCGCAGCCATACAGTACTACTGGGAATACCATTGCTTTGACCATACGGATTTTTGTTGGCAGGGTGATGTCTCTACTTTTTATTATACTGATGGGGGACAGAGTATCAGTCATCAAATAGAAAGACTGAAAATCTTGTCATCAAATAGAAAGGCTGAAAATCTTGTTGGTGCTCGTGGACTCGAATCTAGCTGGTCTACTGCGGACAACACGGCTACTCTCTTAAACTATATGCATAGGATGGCATTGTGGGTGACGGCCATATGAATACTTCCTTTCTACATGTTGAAAGTGTCTTTTGCTCAACGAAGTCTTGTTGAACATGTTTTGCTAGAACAGTGTGGTAAAAAAGTGAAAATAAAACCAAAGGTGATATTCTGTTTTCTCGAGAGTCTCCAAAAGCAGGAAAGGGACTGTAGAACCTATGTAGTATAGCACTGTGTGTGGAACTCTTGCCCAAGCATATGTGCAGAGTAGCAACTATTTTCCCTTTGTTCACAGTTCTTTGGATACAGCTAAATAAGCACTGTGCAGAAGTTTTAAAATTGCGCAACTCAGTGCCTATTAGCTCATAATCAAAATAAAATAGAAGACAGAAGAGAAGTAATTGGAAATAAGGATGACTGATTGATACAGTCACGTTATTTGAAGAAAGTCTAGTGATACTTCCTGAAAATGTGGAAAGGTTGAGTGGACTAGATCTCAACTGGTAAAACATTCCTGAATGTAAATCCTCCCAAACTGAGAACAAGAATAGACATCATGGTTTGGACAGCAAAGGAAAAGCCCAAAAGGCGAGAGTGTCAAAATAAAGTAAAAGCAAAGAATAGAGAGGCTATGTACAAGTAAGTACTAAGAGTAACAGAGAAAAATGTTAGTTGGATGTCTGAACATGTTAATTTTTTATATTTCAGACTGAAGTAACATCCCACAAAACCAATCTTCAATACTTAAATGCAGCTGTATCTGGATGTCTAGAACATCAGAAGAGAAATAAGACTGAACACATAGTTCCTGGAACTCATAATACTGAAGGGACTTTTGAAGACTCACATAAAAGAAGAAAAGTCCAAGTGAATGCGGACAGTGACTTCAAACTGATGCCCTGTGAATCTAATCTTCCAACCATCAAAACAAAAAAGCCAGAAAAAATCCTTTTTGGACAGAATCTTTTAAAGATTTTGCCTCAGTCTCAGCAAACAAACCCAACAGGAACCACTGAAAGTTACTTCAAAGACTTTCTCAGTGAAAATGAAGGACACTTGGGGAAACTATACCATGCAGGGACAACATCTGTAATGAATAACGACTCTGTAGCATTTGTTGATCAGAAAGTTCCAGGCAGTAGCGCGAGCTCCATACAAGCAGGCATTGGTACAAATGATTTGCTAGATTGTGTACTAAATCCACAAGTCATTGGTTTAGTGGCTCAGCTTTTGTTGGAGAGAGCAAGGCATGTTTAGAGTCAGCCTACTTGTCATTCTGAAAATAAAGATCTAATGAGAAGCATAGCTGGAGAGGTTTTTTTAAGCTCCCATTCTATCTGTCTGTCTATCTATCTATCTATCTATCTATCTATCTATCTATCTATCTATCTATCACTGCTCATATAGTGATAGCCTTGAGCAGAAAATAAAATTATAAAATAAGGTAAGGTAATTATAAAATAAAGTAAGGTAATGCCTTACTTAGTGTTATTCTTCTGTTGTTTAATTATTGCCCCCATAGATTTTGCCACAGAGAGAGTAACAAAATCATTTATATCTGATAGTAATCACGTCACCTATGCCCTCATATTGTCAGATGCCTCAGTGGACATTTCCTTATTTCGTGCGCTTTGATGTTTAGTCATGCCGGCCACATGACCACGGAAACGTCTTCGAACAGCGCTGGCTCTTCGGCTTTGAAACGGAGATGAGCACAGCAACCCTAGAGTCGGATTCGACTGGCTTTCAAGCAAGGGAACCTTTACCTTTTTAAAAGTAAATTAATCTAGCCCTCAACTCGCTAAATATAGGACATTCCATCATCATACATTCAATTGTTTCAATTTTCAATTAATCTAGCCTTCAACTCGCTAAATATAGGCCATTCCATAATCATGCGTTCAATTGTTTCAGTTTTATCACGTGAGCATCTACATGTTCTATTTGAATATAGCACTATACTAACTATTGTCTTGTAGCATTTTCTAAAAGCTCAGCTCTCAAACAGCATAGCAGCAAAGTATGTCAATACTTCAATAGCATCCACACTTTGGGGGCATATAAAAATTATGTGGCAGAAACGACACTTAGTGTACATCGCACTTCACACACGTCATCTCAATAATGTTTATTACAGTGGTGGTCATTATTAACGTTATCCCTGTGTTGCTGATGCAGAGAGAGAACAGACCATCCCTGAAGTTCATGGTTAAGCCAGGGTCTGAACTAGAGGCTAATAGCTCCTGTTCTGAACCATTATGCTGCTCTGATACTGTCACATCCCTCACTTAACCTATTGACGTGTCAAATATAGATGACTTAGGGAAATCTATGGCACAGCTGCACGGAGTTTTGTTTTGTTTTTTAATCTGGGAGCAGGTGTTCTCCTAGAGCACCTCTGAATCTCCCAATGCTTATATGCCTTGTACTGCTTTCCAGCCTATCTGTACAGCAGAAGGCAACTAGTTGAATTAGCATGTACCACAATAGCTTCACAAGGGAATGGTGCATTAATACAGGACTCTTGCTTACTGTGTTCTTAGCAGTTTGTTTGTTTGTTTGTTTCGGAGGGAGAAGATTTCTTCTAAGCTTCTAGTCTGATGCTAACTTCCTAAAAGCCTAGCTTTGATTTTCGTCTGCAGTAAAGCACTCCAATCCACTGTACCTTACTGTCACAAAGATTCAGATGCACACACACTAATTTTTTCCATCCACAATGATAGAAAGCAACACAGAGGATTTTACCATGCTCATTAACTGTAAAGAAATATGGTTTTCCCTTTAGGCACTATATTGTTTATCTAGTGGACTACCCACAGAGTTTTGTATGTGCATCTGTTCACAAAAAAACACCTGTTCTCAAAAGCACTGAACAAAGTGTTTACCGATTCACACAAAAACAACTTACACCTTATCACATCTCTCTTCTTCCACTAGCATTGGCTCGATAAAGATCTTTGCAGAGCAACTTCCTAAAATTCAACAGTATGCAAAGGCTTGCTGTACACACCTGGTAGGATCTAATGCTGCGTAGAACACAGTAGGTCTGAAAAGCTTTTACAGCTCTACTGGTTAGTTCAGGCTGCACTGATATATGCCTCTGGCAGATTGCCAAAGGAAGAAGAAAGAAATCAATGCGTAGAAGAAATAGGTACCTTTTTTTTTTTTTTTTGGGTTTCTGGCTTACAGCAAGAGTTTGTTCCTAGATTTTTTAGAAGTTGGATTAATTGTCCTAGAATGTAAAGAGTAAAGGGATTAATGTCCTGTGACCTACTAGTTGTTCTTGTCAGGGATATATTGCTGAATGATCTTTGCAAAAGTTTTACCGTACAAGGCAGTAAGAAACCGTTATAGTCCTCTGCAGTGTTTTAAATTTCTTGCCTGACCTGCAGCTATGATACAGAATGATACTGGCCACAATCCAAGTTAGGCATGCTTTTAAGCCTGTTGTTTTCACTGTGCCAACCTAGCAGTTCAAAAGCAAGACATTGCAAGTAGATAAATAGGTATCACTTCGGTGGGAAGGTTAACAGCGTTCCGTGTGTCTCGGTGTTTTGTCATGCCGGCCACATGACCACGGAAACGTCTTCGGACAGCGCTGGCTCTTCGGCTTTGAAACGGAGATGAGCACCGCAACCCTAGAGTCGGACTCGACTGGCTTTCGAGCAAGGGAACCTTTTCCTTTTTACTTTCACTGTGCATCATAGTGCATTGCATTGGATTATGGTGGCCGTTGGGTCTCGTCTTTTTAAATGGAATTCCCAATAAAAAGGAGTCTAACACGGTGTACATACCCTGTTGAGAAACAAGAGATGCTATTCTGCCTTCCAGTTGCAGCCTGAAATAAATTTTTCCTGATGTCCAAAATAAGCCATGTTCACCATGTGTAGCTGATACGGATCACTTACTAACTTCAAGGTATGTTTGTCTGTAGTTGGCAAAAAGGTTTACAAGAGCTGCATCCTCCCACCAGGCCCTTTGCTTGTTAATAGGTCCTTCTCTGCCCATACTTGTCCTGCCCATTCTTCTCCTCAACCAATTAGCCGAAGCACGTGCAGCCCCTTCCATATGTTGATTTCAGGCCCCCCCCCAAAAAAAATCTTTGGCAGTATTAACAGTATGTGGATTATTGTGACAGGCCTTTTCTACCAACTAAGGGGACTCACCCAGCCTCTTATTATTTGGGGGGACCAGGTTTATTTTGAACTGTTAACCTTCCCCTCAGTTACGAGATGTTCTAAGGGTGCGCTCAGTCGAGCAGCTAATCCCGCCATTATGCCAGTTTGAATTTGATCTCAATCTTTTTAATCCATTGTCACACGACCAGACAACCCCCCTGGTGAATCGCCTTACCGCACGCTGCCTCCGTTGTGGATTGTCTAGACGGCATCCACTGAAGGAGGCGTGCGCGGTGGGGGGGTGTTAAAAGTTTTTTGCACATAGGCGTCACAGCGCGTCCTTGTTGAAGGAGGCACGCTGTGGGTCTTTAAAAAGAAAACTTTTTGCACATGTGCATAGATGTGACAGCGCGTCCTTGTCGATCCACGCATGTGTAGAGTTTTTTTAAAATGGCGCCCACTCGGGATGGTCTGACGTCAGACCACCCCGACGGGAGGATTGCGTGCTGGTGGAACGATCAGACGGGTGAAAGTCCGCAGTTGTCCTGCAGGTAACCGAAAACCCCAGATTTAAAGGGGTATCTTTTAAGTACGGCTCCGAAGCGCGGCAAAACGGGATGCCCACAGAAGAGGGACATTTCCCAGATGTTTGTATCTGGACATTAGCTTTAGATCTGTGAGGCTATCATGCCTTGCGCAGATCTAAAGAGCCGTCTGATCGGACTCTATGGGTAGCAGGTGCAAAGGCTTTATGTTCACTGCCATGAGGTAAGTTTTGTGGCGAACAAGAACACAGGGATCACTGAGGCAGGAGTTGTATGAGGCTTTGGATGTGGCGGCTGGATGGTTATGTCAGAGTCACTTGAAGTTAAATCCATCAAAGATGGAGGTCCTCTACCTGGGTCAGGGGGGGGTTGGATGGGGGCACCAGGCTCCCCACACTGGAAGGGGCACCTTTGGTGCCGGCCCAGACAGTGAGGAGTCTGGGAGTGACACTGGATGCCTGTCTCTCCATGGAGGCCCAGGTTGCTGCAGTTGCCAGATCTGCATTTTTCCATCTTAGGCAGATCAGGCTACTGAAGCCCTATCTTTCCCCCCGAGACGTAGCGATGTTGACCCATGCAATGGTCACTTCCAGACTTGATTATTGCAGCTCGCTCTACGCAGGCTGACCCTTGAAGCTGATCCGGAAATTACAACTGGGGCAGAATGCGGCGGTGAGCTGCTGACCTCAATGCCTGTGCGGGCTCACGTTAGGTACGTGCTCAGCCAACTGCATTGGTTGGCAGTTCAGTACTGGATTTGCTTCAAGGTGCTGGTTTTGACCCTTCAAAGCCTTATACGGCCTGGGACCAACATATCTAAGGGACCGCCTCTTCCTATATATGCCTCAAAGAGCGTTGTGCTCAAAAGATCAACACCTCCTGGTGGTCCCTGGCCTGAGGTACATCCATCTTGCCTCAACCAGGGCCAGGGCCTTCTCTGCCCTGGCCCCAGCCTGGTGGAACGTGCTCCCTATTGAGATCAGGGCCCTGCAGGATCTCCTTCAATTCCGCAGGGCCTGCAAGACGGAGCTGTTCCGCCCGGCCTTTGGTTGAGGTAGCGGGCACCCATCTAGGGCCTCCCTGAGGTTGCTTTCACCCGTCTGTCACCTGCCTACTGACCACCGACAACTGGCCTTTAACCCATTGTACCATCAGGCCAGACTTTTATAGCCAACTTATGCTCTTCCAAGCTGTACCCGTCGTTTTAATTATTATAAGGTTTTATTGTGTTTTAATGTTTTAAGCTGAAATTGTATTTATTTCAGTGATGTTACCCGCCCTGAGCCTGCCCACGGGATGGGCGGGATATAAATGCAAATAATAAATGAATAAATAACAAAGAAGATTAATTCCTTTGCAGGTTGTTTTGAATCAGCAGCACGGGTCTCCAGATAGTCAGAGGAGAAGCTTGGCTGCAGCACATAAATTTAAGCTAGTTGTGGCTGTCAAGCTTCGTCCGCGGCCCTGGCGTCGACCCGCCCGTGGCCATGGTGTCAGCCCTGGGAGTTGGAGAGGGTTCGTAAAGGAAGAGGTTGCAAAGGGGCCTCAGATAGACAGGGGATGGGGTTTTGGTCACCCCAAAGGTCCCTCTGCCAATGTGCGCCGAACGCAGCTGGTCCCGTTTCTCTCTCTC